CCAGTAGGTTGCAACACATGAAACTTACTGTTTTTGTCAACTCTGAGTGGAATTTTGTGCCGTTATTATAACTTGTGTTTTGTTCATATAATATTTTCATTAATATTTGTATGTTTATCCTGTTCATATATCTAAAATAAATTACTTTATTTTTGAGAAATCTGTTCAGGTCACAAGTTCTTTTCACATTCATGACCAGAGGGGTGTTTCATTATATCTGATTAAATTTCTTGCAAGGTCTTGTGGAACACGACTTTTATGAGATTAAGCTGGTATTGATCTCATGGGAGCAGGGTTCTTACACAACAGTAAAAGTACATCATTTGCTTTCAGAACTAGATGAAATACCTAGAATTCATTAAAAAAAACTATCATGAAGCTGAAGTATCAAATCCTATCTTAACAACCGCGGCAGCTGGAATTAGCATGTTCCTGCCTCAAGGCATGCAGAACCACTAGCTTTCCAAATGACGGCTTTTTTATTTTCATCTTTTGTTTTTCTAGGTGGTAGAAAACGCTTCAGTAAAAAAAGACCCTTGAAAGGAAAATGCTTGCTTTATAGTTGTTCAGTAATAACAGCTACAGTCATTCTGTAAAAAACCCTTTAAACAGCCTTTGATTGATTCAACCTGAAGAGGGGGTTATTATAAATATTCACTCACACAATTAAAACGTCTAATGACTTTTGATCTCTATCAGCAGCGTGGCAGGTTCTGTCATGGTCCAGCTGGTTAGAGTGCTTCATTCATCTTGTACTTTATTAACAACATTTATAATGGGAAAGCAGTACAGCTGTATTTGTAGTTATTTTTCATGTTCGGCTTTGTGTCCGGATTATTCTTTACATGATTGCCTCTCTTTCATGTATATGCATGTGTTTGTTTTTACCTGTTAGCAAAATATATGACACTGGCTGTCCATCCCATAACTCAGGTAGGCATTTCTGGTCCTCAAGGCCTGCTGTCCTACATGTTTTAGTGTGTCAAACTGAAGGTCCTTGGGCCAAATGTGGCCCATCATGGCCTTTTATGTGGCCCGTGAGAACTTCAAAGATGTACTGTATTGTCTCAAAATGAGCTGCMTTAAAGACAGCATTAACTATAAAATACATCTCCAATAATGCATGTCGATCTTCTTTTACTCACAAAATGAAGGCATCCCACCATTAGGTGGAGGTGCACAGGGTTCAAAATAAGCTGGCAGCCGACAAACTTGGCCGTGTAAAGTGCCCACTCAACTGCGCTTGCACCGGCTGTTTTTGCTGCAGCCCAGTTTTCCTGGGAAGTGGAACTGCGGAACTTTAAAAGGGAATTCAGTCCCTGGATCAGGTGAGTTGGAGCAGGGAAACAAGTAAAACACGCAGGACATCCCATCACTTCTATAACTGCTTAACCTTTGGAGTCAACCCAATTCAAGATGGCCGCCAGAGCTAATTAACACAAGCAAACACTTAACTGGTTAAAGCTTCATCGTTGTTACATAAACTCGAAATTTAAATGATCGTAGCTGAAAGTCATCCCCAAAACGGACTTTAAAGGCTAATAGATCATAAGATCTTTGCTTAAAATACTTCTACTTCTAGTAAAAATACCTCTGGGTGTATTTTTTTGGTGCTTAGACTGTTTTTCAGAAGCAGTACAGACCCAAATGTAAGTAAAAAAGAAAAACTGAAAAAAGTGAATTTTACATATTAGGTCCCCTTTAAATCCATCAGTTTTACACAGTAAGGTAAATTTTAAAGTGGTAGTAGCTGAAAGCCATAACCAACACATATTATGTGTGCTAATATATCATGTAAGATTTATGATTACCTTGTTTAGCACTTTTAATTAAAAGTACTTTACAAAAGAATTATAAAATAAAGCAGAATTTTCTGCACCTGATAATAGAAGCAAACACAAATGAAAATCTTAATCAAGATCACTGTGAGCGGCGAGGTGCCACTAAGAAAAGCAAAGGAGGAAGGGATGCTTTTCAGCACTGGAGAGTTTATATAAAAATAAGTGTGCCATACAATTTCAAAATGCTTTCTAAATAATCAGAAAAGTTTTTTTTTATCTGTAGGGACTGAGAGCAATTAAGAGAGAGATGTTCCACAAATGTCAAGGTCTGAGATCTTTAGAAGAACAACTGTTGTGACTCTGACTGCAAGGGAAAAAAAGATATATTCCTATTTTCCTTTAACTCTCTGAAACCTTGAGCAGAACTTGGATCCTGAGGGAAAACCTTTCTGTCTGAGGACAACTGGGAGGGGKGCAAAGGTGAAGGATGTTCCCATACAATAAGAATTTTAATGAAAATAATTTGTAGTAAAAACGTTTTACTCTGTGTGGTAACAACCCTTTAACAGTAAGTGATAAACATTTGTCTTGTCATGTGAATGTTTGGTTTGAAGCATCTCCAGGTGCGTTTCTGTTAGTTTCCTCATACAGACTGCACATTAGAGATGCATGCAGCTGTCTGCAGGGAGAGGTAGACCCTTGCAAATAAGGTCAGATGGTAAAATTTACAGCGTGTAAATGGAGCAGGCCGCCTGCAGCCACTCTGACACTCAGATCATAAACTGGCCTCTCTGCATCTTCACTTCTGCAGAGCCATGGCCTCCTACCTCTTGGGAATTGGCTACTTTATGACCTCCATGTTAGTTTTTCCAATGTTTTTCTAGGGCTGCATTGCTAGATTGAAAAAAATATGGAGTTTTGTTTTTACATATTTGTTATAAAGTTGAGAATGTTATATCTTTCCAATGAGAAAGTCCGGCTCAGGCTGACACCATGTTAATGTCTGCAGCACATGATGTACACCAGTGTTGACGTTCAACCTGAGCGGCACAAAATCTTGTCGTCTTGGATTTAAAAAAACTGGAGCGGAAAAAAAAGTAAATGAGAGGTGACATATTTATTGTGCTTTTCTAGTGAGCATGCCCTGCAGGCCTGAATRGGCTTAACCTGATTTGTTGAGCATRTAGATCCGAAACGTGGAGCCCARCGCWAGGTTTTTGAATGTTAAAGACAGYTAAAGWCTTAAAAATAGGTTTAATGAAGAATACTCTGTTTATAAATCTACTTACAAAAAGCATCACATCATCACCACTCCTCTCTGTTTGTGTTCATGCAAACCCTTTGAATGTTCTCATGTTGTAAAGTGGAAATGTGTCAGAAGATGATGTGAAAAGTCTCGCCTGTTTTAGTGATGTGGTTAATTAGGATTCAGTAGCTCAGCTGAGTGCATGGGTCTATGTAATAGCATTTAGGGTAGCTTAATCACATTTCAGGGTAAAGAAACTCGGACTGATTGACAAGCTAACCATTAGTCTGAGAGGGGCCGAGACCAAAGTGAAGCTGCTGTCTTTAAACAACTCCAATTTGATATAAAACAACCAGAATCAAATGTTT